CTCTGTAAATTTTATAACATTTTGGCGTATCACTACTCAGTTTAGTATCCTAGTTTAGTGAAGCTATGTATACAATTTGCAAGCAGAGTCGACTCAAATACCTTTTGAAATGCCTGAGTATAAGTGAGTCTACATCCATCAAAAGTTCCATTCTAAAACAGTTGGTTAACAATCAGTACACAACTTCACACCTGCATTACGAAATCTTTATCAGTACGAAAGTAAAAGTCGTTATCGTGTATTTGAACACAACTTTTCAATTCACTGTTGTTATTCAATTTTCAACCTTCGAAAACCCCTTAATCTAACTGGTTGTTGTAATCTTTTGCACTGTGATTTGATTATTTGATTATTTCGTGTTTTTAATTTAAATACCAACTTCTTATTAAATAAAATAAAGCTGCCTTCCTCACCGACAATAATTAAGCTATTTCATTACATATTCTTCATCTTTTGGTCCATATGCATATACTTGTCTTATTACAGTTTCTTATTCATGTTATGGAAAATTTTCATATGAGCCCATCTTTCAACAGAGGTCGAACAGTTCCACTCAGTATAGTAGCGCGAAATTAAAAGTATCAGTAAACAACAAGTGATACCCGTTGTACAAGTAGTGGCTATTCTGTCCTAATTGGTTAGTGCGTAACGCTCTTACGTTCAAAGCAATAGGTACTGGTTTCAAATTCCAGTAGGAAAAGCATCACTGATTGGGGTAGAGATACATCCAACTGACGAGTCCTAAATAGGACGGAATGCTCATCCTGGATTCCACTACCAGCCACTAAGCAGGCTACCTTATTTTCATGCTTCTTGCACAGCCTTCATACCAGTGTTGTTTATCTGACAACAATCTAAAAAGAATCCAAACTTCATAAATCTTGGTGGAATTATTGTATTAGAATACAATGGAACAGTTTTTCTGGATGAAATTGCCCTAAAACATATTTTCCGGCTGTAGTCTTCTCCTTCAGAAAACAAAGATCTAAAATGGAAATAATTGCCAAATTGCAATACTGTTGTTACCATTTTTCGCACTTATGCTTTGTAGTGTGACCAAGCAAAAGAATCTTTTGCTGTTTTATTTTATTGGTTTAAGTCGATTGATTTTGCTCCTGTTATCCGAGCAGAGTTCTGAAACAAATATTGTTTGATTCTATCCAGAAGTTCATGGAGGTTTACTAATTGATTTTAGGTTGGAATTCATCGTGGAATGATATCAGTTGGAGGAACATTAGAAGCCTGGGAAGACTGACAGATGTTTCGTCCTAACATGGGACTCCTCATCGGTGTGCACCCACCAACCCGCCTGGCCAAGGATCGAACTCAGGATCTCCAGGTTCCGTGTCCGGCACGTCACCGTTGTGCCACAGTTGCTCAACGACGACACTGGATGCAGGTCACACTATATCGTGGACTGACTGAAGTGGGAAGTGTGGACCATTAAATTCCAACCCGGTGGTTCAATAATAACGTCCTGGACCCTAACCCTGGTCCGGCGGGGTCATGGTTGCGCACTGCTGAGGAGTCCTGTGTCAGGACGAAACAGCTGTCCAGTGCCCACAGTTTTTCAATGTTCCTCCGACTTATGTCATTCCATGGTGAATTCCAACCTAAACAATTGTTTGAGTTTACGTGGAAATGCTTTTCTAAAAGTGCTCAAAATTTACGATTATCAAAATTAATTCACTGATAAAAGATACACAGAAACGTTGAACTCACTTCTGATTAGAAAATGAATCATTCTGTTGGCTACATATTTGGAACATTATCAGTTGTCAGAAGTCAGAAGTAACATAAACTTTGTTTCTTCCATACTGATAGTCACAGTTATATGAATTTTAATAACTTCTGAGCCTTGATGGAGTATTTCTAGTAGCTTGTGCATATCTTTTTACAGTCAAAATGACTCATTTCACCGCTTATTGATACTTATAATTTCCTCTTGCTGAATTGGGCTGAATCGCTCGACTGCAATTGGTAGAAGGGCTTTTGTGTTGATGCATCGATATTGCCTAAATACTGTTGTTGTTGAATGTCGCTTGGGACTAGTTAGTTATGGGATCCAAAATACGCGTTTCCTCCTACTTTACCACCAGGAAGCTTGATGCACCTACACCCCAGTGAGTCGTGTTGTTCACACCGGGACTCGAGCCGAGTGCCTACCCTCTTTATCTCTAAATCGTTATCCAATAGGCCACTGAGGCACTCCTCTCCTGCTAAAATTAAACATCTGTCAAGTGCTGAGAAGAATCTAATTAGAAGGAAATTCAGGACTTTTGTAAAGCTAAATGTAGTCATTTTGCAGAATACCATACCGTGTTTTTGCATAAACAGAACACTACAAAATCATAGATCGGAGTCACTCAGCACTTGAAATAAGCTCAATTTGTGGCGCGAATTCTGACTATTATGGTTACATTCTAGTGTACTCAGAATACTTCAACTCTCGCACATAGCCACAGAGTGATAGGCAAGTTCATCATTTTAATAGATACTCATTTGAAGTCATATAATCCGAGATTTTCACCCAGCTAATCAAGGAGCTTTGACCAAACAATAGTTATTTATTACCTTGTGGCAAATGCTGACTAGTCTAAAGTCCCTTGGAACTTAACTATGGTGCAGAACCTCAGCGTTATTTCTACCACTAAGATAAATCAATAGAATATGAGTAGTGATTCCAAGACAATTATTATTATTTATTATTTGTCCCATGGGTTCCTAATGGAACATAGGGCTTCAGTAGCAGGTCTCTAGTGAGCTCTGTCCTCTGAAATCTTTTGAACCTCCCTCCACAACTACCCACAAGCTTTCATTTCTTCCTCGCACGATCTCTTCCATGTCACCCTCGGACGCCCAACTTCAAGACAATGCTAGTCAAAAACCTTTGGGTTTTTAACATTGTATAACTTCACACATAACCTCGTACGGCCTTATGATATTATTCTGCTCAATAAACGCAACGTAAGTAGGCGAACACTTTAGTTGCATTTGAACCTCTATAACCTATAAAGAAGCTGTCTGGATTGCATAGTAACTACTCTAGTTTCAGTCAACATTATTTTCATACGGTACACTTTTGAGTTAGTGAGTTTATATGGGATTGATAAACAATGAGAAAAAATGAAAAAATAATCATATAGTAAGTCAGAGATGCTAAGTAACTAATTCAAGTGCACATCGATTTATACGAGGCAGTGAATGCCATCTGGATCATATAATCGCTAATTCTTACAAGGTACTATTCACTGAATGTAAATTGATGAAAAGTTTTCTCTACTACTATAGGAATCCAAAGGTTATAAACTAAAGTAATTGGTATAAGTTATCCACACTATTTGTAAGCTTGGTAATTTTCAAACAATCTATCTACATCTTGTTTTATCAAAATTTGTCATGTGAAATATGGAATTTGAACTTGTCTCACTCAGTTAACTTGATATAGATGAATTAGTTTGACGTAATACACATTTTAGAATAATTTGAACAGAATTTATCTACCGAGAAAAAAAAACTCCCCAGCACGTCTCGATAAACGCGTTTCAATGTGAATATCTTCGAATCTGTATGGAATTGAATACGCAGTATCACATCATAATGTTTGCATAACGCTCTTCATAGACAGTGGAATTAAAAACAGTTTTTTTTCCAACTTCATTCAGGTTTTACTTTTTCTTAATGTCCTCTTAACATTTTACGTAATAACCTTTATACTTTTTGGAATATAGGTGTCTCACTAATTGTTATCACAACTATGTTTCTGTAAATCTGTCACCAGCCCTTAATGCACTACTACTATTATATATAATGAAAACATGAAGGAAATTCACACTGTACAGATTCAAAGGTCTAGTTAACTTTGTCATTCCCTTGTTAACCATCAGCGAAAATTTAATCTATCAGTGTAGTGGGGTGACTACTTTTTTATTTATTTGTCCTATGGGTTTCTATTGGAATATATGGCTTCAGTAGCACATCACCATTTCACTTCTTTCTGTGCAGTGTTTCTAACCTGTTTCCACGAATTGTGAGAAGCTTTCATTTCTTCCTCACATCATCTCCTCCATGTCATCCTCGGACGCCCAACTCGCCGTTTCCCATATGGGTTACACTCAACAGGCTAGCCTTACGTGTGATAACCCCAAACGGTCTACTCGGAGTGTGTTCAATCCATCTCCACTTTCTTCTTCTGGGATGATAGGTTTTTGGTTGGTTCGTCGCCAGACAGAGTTCCTCATTGCTTATTCTTTCTGGCCATCTCAACTCCAGTGTCAAGCGTAGGTGGCAGCTGTTGATATATGTGTGCAGTTTGTTGGAAATGCTTTGGGTAACACGCCAAGTCTCTCAACCATCCTGTAGAAGCACTGACTTGGCTGACATTAGTGTTAAAAATCCGCATCTTGTTCTTTATGTTGAGTGCAGTAGATCTCCGGCGGAAAGTTTGCTAGCCCCACTTTCAACCTTCCCTCTTTTTCAGGGCTTAGGATAGGCTAGCAAACTAGTAAACTGGTAAACGATGAGAGGTTCCCAATTACTTCAGTTGTACTATAACCAAAATATACTGTGAGTTGAAACAATAACTGATATTTCCTGCATTGTAAATTAACAGTCATTTACAGTTTATGAAAAGGTTGAAGTCTACTTCTAATTCATACCTGTAAAGATGGAGCGTTTCAGTTGTGGAAAGGTATAATATCATTATTATCTAGAGTCATGATGATTCTCTTACTGTAAGGATAAAAATTACTACGTTTCTTCAGTTTATCTGTGCTCATCGGTAAAATAGTGTTCATCACTAAGATATTACATTTTTCTTGGAGGCTTGTACAACTGTCGTCTTGAATAGTCACTGTTTAAAATTAGTTTTCATACTTAAAGTGGAATAAATGTAGGTGTCAGCAGTAGTTTAGAAGTAGATTTACACTGTTGTCTAATCCTTTTAAGTTTGAATGACTTTTGAATGCCTTTTTCATAATGATTTTTATCTCTCATTTTAGGTTATTACACTCAAGATCATGGTATACATTTATCTGGATCAAAAAATCATGACTATATTATTCAACGATTTAATAATCTGGCCAATCAAAGATTAATTGCTGGTGTCAATGAATTTTTCGATGAACTTGATCATAACAGTAAGTTCAGTTCCTTTTTTTTTCAATGAAAGTACTTTTGTATTCATCACAAGAGAGATAGAAAGATGGAAAGAATATAGAGTAAGCTACTTTGAGAAATTTTATCGGCATATATCACTTTCCTACTGAATTGTAATGATTACGATTTGTTGATAACCTGAATCACCGAAGTACTTGAACCACCACCTTCATGGTTATAAGTTCAATGGTTGATCACACTGGACAACTTCAGTATGTTTATGAGCTGTAAAAGATATTTCCAATTTCGAATTTTTACTGACTGAAGTTAACTGAAAGGAAAATTCAGTTGTTGACTTTATTGTCTCAAATCAGATGCCTTTCATCTGAATGATAATAAACTAAATTTCAGATTGGTAGCATTCCTTCGGCATATACAGCGGCTGGTCTCTGTGGGCAACTAGACCATTTACAAGGTAGCATTCAGCAGGGACTGACAATAGTTGGTGAGGAATTGAGAGCCTGGGGACACAGAACAGCTGCTTCATACTAGTACGGGACTCCCCAAAAGTGAGTGGTCATGGCTCCATCTAAGCTCTCACCTAGGACCTCCAGGTTTCACTGTAAGCATGTTACCACTGAACCTATGAGTCGTAATCGAATGGTCTACGTTTTCTTTCAATTCGTGGCATAGAGCGACCTTCATCTTATTGCATCGTTTAGTATTTGTTTTCATGTCCTATTTTGTTTGCCTCAGTGGTCATAATTTCTTATAGGAATTTCAGAAAATTTCACCTTGAAACAAGTCACAACAATTCAGTTGAATTTAATTGATTACGGCGATCCTGTGGCAGAGCGTATCTGCTATGTGATTTAATGCTGAGGTACTCAGAAGTAATCAATATCATAACTAGATTCTTTAATTAGACCTCTTGTTTGACTAACCAAGTTTTCGAACCCAACAATAATGCAGTGCACATCAACTTCTGAATTAAAACAGCAGAATATGGGGCCAAGGGGTGAGACCTACAACTGACGGGATGAAAGAGCTACATTTGAGTAGTTAAATACATACTTTCGGGTGAACAGAGAGCCAATGCTTAAATAGTATCAGATGTGAGACTCTTCCTTAGCTTCATGTTGAAATCCTAAGTGTGTTTTTAGTAACATCGTCATGAGAACACTACCAGAATATATGACTGGTTGGGTACTCCTGGTGAGCTATTCACTGCTAAGAAGTCACACAGGACGAAACAGCTGTTCAGTGCTCTTTCGTTCTTAATGATTCTACAATGAATACTTCTTTGAAAATAAAAAATCCTCGCAAACCACCAAACTGAATGAAAGTCATCTCTGTTTGATTTTTTACTCTGTATCAGCTGACAGTGTAATCTAAAATGATTATTCTAGACTACAGATATGAATTTATATAAACTATGATCAAGATTTGATAGTATAATACGGCAAATATTAGGCGATGAGTAAAAGGTTGACATTTAGATATAGATTGTATTCGTGTAAGTCATAGAGTGTTTCGAATTAAATAATTCCAACATTTCGCTCGGAAGTCTGGTTCGAGCTTCAGGGAAATAATCAAAATTAAAATATCAAGGATATATAAATGAATCCAAAAAACGTGTATTTCATCTCCTTATCCAATCCTCTTCGTATAGTCATTGTCTTTTTAAATTATGATAATTGATCGTTCAGTGTGAAATTGTATATCTCTTGTTGTATGGTGTATGTATGTATGTATGTATGCATGTATGTATGTATTCCAATTCATATTCGCCTTGATTGTAAGTATCAGACAAAAAGAATCACAGGTGACATTATAGTATAAAAGACTGACTCGTAGCTCCATGCAAGTAAGGGTCTCGGAACATATTCCAAATTGGTTTCAGAAGTAAGTTTAAACCACCTGAACACATAATCGTTGGTAGCAGATGGCCAGCTACTTCGATCGCGAAACATATCGTGGAGACAGGTCACCGGATTCACGTGGCTACTTCCTTTACACCTATTGACAAAACGTGCTGGTGACGGAGGTCTTATCTATTAGGAAGTTGAAACCACCTTTGTGTGTTCATAAACAACTTATTATCACATTAAGTCTTCCTTGGTATATTCAGCTATGAAAACCAAGTTCGATGTACTATTATTTTCGTTCTACTGATTTTCATTGTTATTCGATCTTTAACTCAGCTTTCCTATTTGACCTCTTTTCATTTTTTCATAGCTTATCTTCATTAATTTTTTATATAAATACGTATGACCAGTATGTGTATGACCAGATAGTTCTAAATGTTTTGCGCAAATACGTTACACGGTTCAAACAATTTAAGTCTTCTCGTTGTTATTCATTGGACATTGAAAATTTTAGTTTACTTTCATTAAACGGATACTTTAATAAATGATACTGACTCGGAAGTTACAAGTAAATTTTCGATGCATAAATTCTCACTTTACTTTGACTTCTAATTTATCATCTCGTTAACAGTTTCAATTCATCATCCAATTACTCATATTCAAATCAATATTTATCCATTGTTTTTAATTAAAAAACGATCTTAAGTGTTTTAACAATTGAACCTTGAACTACAATAACGTTTCTATGGTATGCTTGAATTTATTGTGACTAAACTTTCCTAATTTATTAGGAAAGTTTTCATGTTTATGTACAAGCAGACTGCAAGTTTGCTAGATTAAAAAAAGTCTTAATGGATATATTTTGCGTCGTTTTACGCCTAGAATTTATTATGTCCCTTCAATGTGCATTTCTTATTTGTTTTATTTGCTATTGTTTTTATATTTAACATTATATGTGTTGTACATCTAGTTTTTTGGTATATGTCTTCATTTTTTTCTAAACAAAAGTGACGCGCAATTTTTGAATTTTGGACTGCCAATTTTCACTTCATAGTCTTTACTTTTCTGAGTTACATCAGTCGATCTCTGTGTCACACACACACACACAGTCACACAAACACAAGGGGCACATTTAATTGTTCAGTCACATGGTTGTATGGTATTTTGCTCATATAAACAAAATTGAGAAGGCATGTTATAAACAAAAGGGAGCAAAACTGATCAAGTTTTATTTGTGGTTTTATCCTACTTTTAACCTTCATGTAGGGTTGATTATTTAGCTGTATTGAACATTGTAAACCATACACATTGACACTTGAACATGGTGTTAAGTAAAGACAGTAATATAGATGTTTACTATGAATATATATATATATATATATATATATATATATATAATCAGCTACAATACAAATTAATGAATTTCTTAATACATTCAACTCTCTTAGTTTAGTGTTTCATAGGATCAGAGTATGATGACTTTTAACTCTGCATATTCAGTGTAACTGTTTCAGAAGGAAGTGAGAACACCATCACTCATTCCAGCTGACGATTCCCATGTAGGACGAAACGCGAGTCATAGATTCCACTGCAAGCCACCAGGTAAAATTTCTACTCTGTTTGATCCTAGGAATAGACTAATCATTACTATCTTACTCATGTGGAATTCACAGTCTTTTGTTATGATGATGGAAATGTTTTCCTTGGTTTGATCTTTCACTCTAACTTCTAGGCTATATCAATTTCTCTTCTGTCTTTTGATTTAAGGAGTACCTCGTGACTGGCATCATTTCTAAGGATTTCATTCTAGCTCATTACTACTCGTTGAATATATTCACTAACTCATGTATGACAGAAAGTCTTTTCCTTACATCAGCATATCTTCTTTGAAGATCAGGATACAACTAATTGTTCTTAGAGAAGGAACCAAAACAGATAACTATCGAGAAGAAAATTTCTTCGTTTTCGACGAAGTCATTTACCAAGCTATACACTCATGAATAGGTACTACAGAGGGTAGAATATTGCATAATTATCTCCAATTAGATGTCAGAATATGCTGAATAGTGAAAGGAAGCCATTTAATACAAGAATAGGTGATAAGAAAATAGATGTGTTTATGTGATAGAAAAATAATGTAGAACAGTCGGAAATTGATAACAGCCATGACACGAACAAAGGTTGAACGTACATTTTTGGAAACAGTACTGGTTTAAATCTCTGGATGGTTAGTGGTTCAGCTATTACAAATGCTTTGATCCTACTCGTTTTGAGTGGTTTGATCTAAATCTGTAGAGGATTTTGAAGTTCTCAAAAGAGGCTGAATCATTTGGATCTACAAGGTGTTTTGCTACTGATCTGGAGATATATTCTCGTTCTTTCTTCGTTAGGTAGGCTAGATAGTGTTCCCAATTATCTGTCACAACCAGGGGTATTGTAAAGCAAGATACACTTAGCTTTATAGGATCAAGTGTATCCGTAAACGCACACTTAAGTGACCCAGTTTGCCAGCCTGTACTTCACAAAGTGACCAACAAGCTTTTTCCAGGAGAAAGTCGGCAGAGAAGCATGGTCTATTTGAAGCTCTCGATAGTCACTTTTTTGGAATGCCTGCAGCATTGTCATTTTTAAATCCCAGATCCAGCAAGAAGTTTTATCTTTCTACTAAGAGTATTCGTTCAGTTGTACTCTTTGGCTTTAAGTTATTATCTATGAACCCAGACGAAAAATCGTTTTCTACTGTAGTTACTTGAAGGTTTTTGCATTTTTTCATCAAATATGTCGTCTGCACATAATTTTTCTTATCACTGAAGGGAGTGAATTGGTATATTTACTATTTCAACTACGGCCAAAGATCTCCTGCATAGTTCGATGAAACCACTCAAAGAGGTGAGTTAAACGCAGTCGAAATTCATATCAGCATTGTTTCCATAGCAATACGTTCAACTCTTGTTTTTGTCATGGCCATTATCAGTTCCTAATTGTCCTCCATTAAGTTATCGTGTCTATTTTCTTACTCTAAGCTCTTATTTGTATTACATGACTTCCATTCACTATTCAGCGTAATTTGATCTCTGATTGGAAATTCTTCTGAAATGTTCTACTGCTTGTAGAATATATTCATGAATGTACAGCTTAGTTAAAGATCTCGTCTAATAAAAATATTTTCTTCA